GTGTTTAATGAGGAGCCAATTCCTTGGAAAATGGAATTTGTTTCCATGTTCCCACTTTTCCTTTGTTTGATAGGGTTTTTTTTTAGGCAAAAGATTTTCTCACTTTTCCTCACACACTCATATTTTCTAGCATTTCCTTGAAATCATTTTCCCACCACTTTGGTGAGAAAATGGTTTTCCAAGTTTTTTTTCTTGCAATTGGAAAAAATTCTAGATACAATGGTAAGAAAAATTATTATTTTTATTGACAATTTTCATGCAAAATAAACCTAAACGAATGATATTCGATATAGTAAAAAAAAATTGTAATTTTTTTTGTAATTTTTGGCAATTGGAACAAATTATAGACCTAATGGTAGAAAAAATTATCACTTTAATAGACAATTTTCATGAAAAATAAAGTCAAACGGATACCAAACTTTCAACATTTTCCAAATAGAAAATTATATTAATCAAACACAATTAATTACAATTTTCAATAAAATAATTTCTAGACAATTCAATCCTCTGTAATTCATTTTCTTTCCACATTTGCAATCAAACGGATCCTATACGAAATTGAGTGACCATGGTAAAACGTTAAATGAAATTTGGTGGTTATAATGAAATAAAATCAAATTTGGTGGTCATTGTAATGTAAAGTATAAAGTTTGATGATCATGATAAAAAAAAAAGTCAAATTGGATAATCATAGTGACTAAATATAAAGTTGGGTGGCCATTGATAGATTTAATCCTAAATTGTCACCATAAGTAATGCTTTGTACTTGGTTAAAATATTTAATTATGAGATGAACCGGGTGATGACATTTATTTTCCCACCACAGCGTCAAAACGGATTTCCAATCAATTACTCACCATTCCTTTCTTCTCGAAAAAAAATCATGGAATGATAACTAAACAATAAAGGAAATTATTAGAGGAGAATTAGAGATCATGTATATCCTCCTCAGAGCCATTGAGGTGAGTATCTGACCGTAAACTTCAGGGCCCCGTGGAATTAGTCGAGGTGCGCGCAAACTGGCCCGGACATCCACAGTTATAAAAAAAAAAAGGAGATCATATATATCTTTCATGATAACAGTGACCATTATACATAAGAGTTTTAATGTGAGTTACAATATGAAATTGTTGCAAAACAATCAAGATACCAAGAATAGTTCCGATATCAATTGTTGTGGAACAAACCACCAGATTGTGATATTGAAATTATATGACAAATAATAATGAAATATTTGATCAATCAAAAGAATAAAGAAGATAAGAATATGACAGAAGAATTAAGAGATTTTATTGATTCATGAACAACGTGGAAGAGAGAAAATTACAATGGATCCTATAATTCTAGTAATCTATTTTCTCACACCATAAAATTGTATAAAAGAACCTAGTATTTATAGGGAATAAGTAGGGGATGTCCAAACCCACCTAGTAGAGTCGTTGATGAAGTATGATATCATAAATTTGAGTTCAAAACAAATTCCAGCTCCCAATGGGTTTCCAAAATAGAACTTTAACATGATATAGGACTCCAATAATATTCCAAATTGAATTCTTCATGACGTGCACTTCAATTAGAATTTTTCAATTACTTCAACAAGGAATTCGGGTCACACCCAAATTCTATCAATCTCCACATTGACACGAAATGCACCAAGGAATGAACGGCTTCTTCAACAATAACCAAAAAAATTAATTTCTCAAACCAAACACAAAATACTCCACCTCTTTCAATGAATCCAAGCACTATTCTGTAAAATTACCTCAAATTCCAAAAATCATAATGATTTTATAATTTACCAAAATAGGTTGTAACACACCCTAAACCAGAATCAATACCAAATGTTTTTACAGAAGACTCCTTACTAGATTGTACACCTTCTACTCCACTTAAAGCATACTCAACAAAATCAGCATCCACATACCCTTTTCCATTGGGTCCGTCCCTAATAATTGAATACAATGGCACCGTAAGTGATGGTGGTAAAACGACATTATCCATATATCATGAACTCCACTAATCTGTATTCTTCAAGTCCGACCATTTATGAGCTCCTAAAAGTATTGTACCAAACTGAATGTCCACCACGGTCCTGAACTTGTGTTGATTAGCTTTTCTAAATTCTGTACGACCCTGCAAGATGTATTACCGAGACCTTTTATGTCCCTCCAATACAACTTGGACACCCTTACAAACTTTTAAATCTCCACATCCACCAAAAAACTCATAACCTTTTGAATCAAGGATAGACAACGAGATGTGATTTTTCTTCAAATCTGGAACATGTCGAATCGACCAAGTGCTCTAATTGTCCCATCCAAAAGGTTCAATCTGAATGTGCTAATTTCAGCAACCCGACAAGATACGTTGTTTTCCATAACCACGACATCTTTGAAAATAGTTTCATATGTAGCAAACAAGTCCTTATTATGACACATATGAATCACACATGCTGAATCAAGAATCCAATCATCTTCCAGTTTAGACTCAATGTCAGAAATAACTAAGAGTTCCCCATCACTTACAACATTCTCCACGAAATCTGCTTCGCCTGAAGTATCTGAATATCTATTTGCAGCCATCCTTTCTTTATTTTACAATTTGTAGCAATCCTTCTTTAAGTGCCCCATTTTCTTGCAATAGTTACAAATTTGACTACTGAACTTAGATTTCGATCTGTCTCTTCCAGAACTACTATCAACGACGATCTCCTTAAATACAGCTAGGTGATCTTCCAATGATCCTCCTTCTGCTATTCGATGAGAGTATAAACGCTGCTGACGTTCAACTTGCTTGTCAAACTTTTAGTCATGCATAATTACTCCAACCTCAACCATAATGCAGCTGTTGAATTCTCCTTCAAAACGTCCTGAAGAATAGTATTTGATAGATGAAGATGAATGTGATAAACTTCCTTCTTATCATTCTGTAATTTCTCCTCCGCGGTTAAAGTTGCGAGCATCTTGTTAATTCCCAGCAACGCATCATCCAAATTCAATTGTGCGAGTACTGCACATATCGTAATCTGCCATATCGAAAATCTAGTACTCCAATCCAAAAGCGGAATGTCATACTTTATGGAAACCATCACGAATAAAATCTCGAACAAATCAAACCATGCGCTCTTGCGAAACTGCTGAACATGGGGCTCCGATACCAATTGTTGCAAAACAATCAAGATACCAGAATAACTCTGATACCAATTGTTGTGGAACAAACTATCGGACTGAGATATTGAAGTTATATGATAAATAATAATGAAATATTTGATCAAGTAAATGAATAATAAAAACAAGAATATGGTAGAGGAATTAAGAAATTTTATTGCCTCAAGCATAATGGAGAAGAGAGAAAATTACAATAAATCATATAATTCCAGTAATCTTTTTTCTCAAATTATAAAATTGTATAGAAGAGGCTAGTATTTATAGGGAATAAGTAGGGGATGTCCAAACCCACCTAATAGAGTTGTTGATGAAGTATGATACCATAAAATTGAGTTCAAAACAAATTCCAACTCCCAATGAGTTTCCAAAATGGAACTTCAATATGACATATGACTCCAATAATATTCCAAATTTGAATTCTTCATGACGTGCATTTCAATTAGAATTTTTCAATTATTTCAACAAAGAATTCGAGTCATATCCAAATTCTAACAAAAATGATATTCTTTTCTAGGTTAAGTAGGAAAGTCATGTCGACTTCTACATAATACGAACTAATTTATAACAAGTGATATTACCTCTTAATTTGTTATAGCAAATTGCACACTCTTGTTCGTTAGGTGTATGAGTTTCTAAAAGACGTGAGAGGATAGTAAAGTCAAACTTTACAAACCTAGACGTGCCAGGATGAATCTACATGTAATAAGACATTTTCATATTTATAATATACTTTAATTAATCTAAAATCATTAATAATTGCTGCATAATGTTATTCGTACATCATTGTATTTATAATGATGTACAAAATATGATTTAGAAGCAGTGGCGTAACAATTATCCGGCGAGCACTCGCTATCACTCTTGCTTGCTCTGCCGGAAGTATATATATATTGGGCGGCCGCTCGATGGCCGTTCAAGCAGTCGTGCGAGCTTGCCTAGATCCACCCTTGCATGGAAGGGAGAAAAATTATAATAATCGAGTTTTTTTTTTTTTTCCGCCTATTTTTCTCTCTCTTACATGTCATTTATCTGTACACTATTATATACATAATGATGTAGAAATAACATTACTCTTAATAAAATCATTAACAATTTTTTTTTCAATTAGTTTATTTAACCTTTAAATAATAACATTTCAATAAAAAAGAAATGTGAAAAGGCATACGCCTTTTGATGCATAGGCTTGCTTTTTGCCAACTAAATCTTCATTGCGTTTGAAAAACTATGAATCTTATGAAATATGTAAATAAGATTAATGATTATCTTTCATTTGAAATTTTTATCAATTTTTACTTAGTCTCACGTAATAATGCCTTGTGTACTTATTTTCTAGCTAGCTTTTGGATATATGTATATAACTTTATAGAAAAATGGTACTTTTAAACATAATGTAGTTTCGTTAAAAATAAATGCTTCATGTTTATAGTTAACAACTTAAATAATATTGCTCGACGATAATTTCTAATTATAGGAACTAAAACAGGAAAAAAGAAAATCCAAACAAAAAATACTTCAGATAAGAATTTTTTTATTTGAATTCTCCTTCCAGCTAAATTACATTTCTATAGGCTACCAACTGTGGCGAAAAATGTAAATCCTTAAGAGAGAGACCGAATTTTTTTTTACAGACATGCATGCAGATGCAGTTCTCTTAGGTTGAACCCTGGGGCTCTTTCGGCTTCTCTTGGTTAATTTTCAGGACTCCAATTGGCGTAGGAAACTTGCACGTGTGGTTCTGGCTGGTAGGAAGGTGACAAGCCATCGCCTTCCTAGACTAGAAAGTAACCTTCCTCGATTAATATCTAACATAATTTGTCTAACTCAATCAAATCATTAATATGGATATGTAACGTTAGGGTTGTGCGGACCATTCAGAGCTGCTATAGCTGTTTCTATTTTTTTCTTCAAAACATCTTCCTCCTCAGTACCCGCCTGAAAAAAAGTGCAAAAACTATATTAAAAAAGTAGTAATTAAATACTAACTCTTATATACAAACAAGAAAGTCTGGGAAGGCATCCCCACGAGCTCTAATCATTTCATTTTTCTTGTCGAAAATATATACACAAAGAAAATAGAAATCGGAGAATCAAACTGAATTGAACCGGACCGGACCGGACCGGACCATACCCTAATATATACACAGAAAATAGAAATCGGACCGACCATCAGAGAATTATTTCAAAATGACTGGAAAGTCTAATAGTCAATCAAGTCAACTCGGTTATCCTAGCTGATAAAAATCGAGGCAAGAGCAAAGACGTATTGGAGCCTGGGACTATTGAAAAGCACATGGATGTTTGTTCTTTTAGCAATAACGATAGGGACGGATTCGGGACCACACAACAACTCGGGCTAATATGTTAAAAATCAAAAATAAAAAAACTTACACATAATTTCATTTTTTACCTATTTTTTTTTTCACTAAAAAACTCGAATGGGTCGAGGATTGGACGAGACTACAGCCCAGTCCAGTCCCCCCGTATACGTCTAGGATACACTAAACCAGTCCAATAATAAATTAGACTGAAACAAACAATATGAGATTGGATCTCGAAATGTATGGAAAAAAAAAATTTCGAAAGCAAGGGAATAAGTATTAAGGACGCTTTTAAATGTGAGGAAGTTACGAACTTCTTGAACTTGAGGTTTCATAATAAAGTTATTTACTTCCATTCAAGTCGTAGTTTGAAAGAGAGCATGAGCCGGAAAGACACTTGTGATCATAAGAAGCATGGTTAGGTTACTTGAAATGTAGTATTTGAGCTTTTACATTGTTTTCCCCAACCTCGTCTTCGGATGGGGAAAATTTTTGCCTTTTGTGTACCATTAGCTCGAGACCAAGTTGAGCCCCCTCTAAATTCTGTTTTAATTCTACTCATTATTAATAAAATATATACGCTCCATAGAGTGGTCCAATTTTTTATTTATTTAAGTTTGCATGTAAGAGAGAGAGAGGGAGGGAGGGAGAGAGAGAGAGATTACCTCGATAAATACTGTCTTCAAAACCCTATCTGTGAAAACAGTGATGTTGACAGTAATGATTTTTAGGTTCAAAGATTCAAACATCTCATGGAGCTTTACGATTGTATCTGTTCTTTTGCTGCATGTAAGGCTAATTACAACGTTCTTCTCATCCATGTTGGTTACTCTCAACTGCTAATAACGAATTTCGGCACCACATGTCAGGTTTTAGATAAAAAAAATAAAAATGAATCCAATAAATGCGTTGAAGACAGAATTTAAACATATTAATAAACCTGCCATCTAATTAACAACTTGAGCGGCTTTTAGATGAGTTGGTTCAATAAGAAACGGAGATAAATTGATTAGCCTACCTCGAGAACTTCGATGGGAGATGAACTTGATCCTCCAGAATCATGGAGATTTTCACTTCTTATTTTCTTTTGGTTTGAATAAAAGGTTTCATCTTGATGATCAAACCCAATAATTTTACCATTTGATGATGTCCCTGCAGATTCCAAATCTGATATTTCTGCTTGAATTTTTCTCTCTTCTTCTTGTAATTTTTGAATATAATCAATGGCGTCTTTGATTATCGATTCTTTATCCATCTGAATTTCAAGAAACATTTACTATTCATCAGATAAAGTCTTTTACGAGCAGGAAAAAAAAAGGCAGAATGACAAAAATATTAGTCTTTATTTAAATAATGTGCCACCTTTGTAATTTTGGGAACAGCTGATCTTAGTGCACGGAGCCTTTCGTTGAGTTTATTTCTTCTATTTTTCTCTGAATCAGTACTCTTTTTAGTGGCCATCGATGACAGTACTGTTCCATGATCAGAGCTCGAACCACTGAATGCAGAAAATTCTTCATTCAAATAGCTGCAAATATTAAATCAATCTCATTATGAATATAATTCTTAAACACGAGAACGAACACAGAACACGAACCTAAAAACCAAAAAAACACAGACACGAACACGAATGGACAATTAGGTAAAGAGAAAATTGTACCAGTCAGGTTCTTCAGATTGGAGTAGCATAGTTAACCAATAATGTGGCCATTCATCACTGTTGTTTTCCATTGTGTGTGTGTGTGTTTTGAGAAAGAAAAAGAGTTGAGATGCTTCGTTGGGATGAAGGGATTGTAGAGATACATGCACTATTTTCCCTGCCAAGATTGCATGTGGGGTTTTTATAATAAAATGGTGTGCTACGAAACCGTGTGAAACTTTCTTTACGATGAGTCGTCATCAGATTGACGTGGGATGCCACTCTTAATTTTGACGTGATGGCCGCTATTTTTTGAATTTTCATATATATATATCGGGTAAACTTTTAGTCCCTGATTTGGATATATTTTAAATTTTTAACAAATTTTAATAAAAGTTGGTAAAATGCGTGATTCGGATACAAATAGACTTTCTAGTCAGTCAACAAAAATGGACGAAAAATTTTGAGATCAAAATTTACTAAAAATCTGATTTTCGTGCTAATATTCTTGCGGCAAAATCAAAGAAGTAACTATTTCTAACTCTGCATTCACGTTGGCCGCATTGAGTGCACTTTTTCTCTATATTTTGCAGCGAGTCATAGTCAACCCGTTTATACGTATTCTAGACCATAAATACCGCAGACAAAAATTGAACCATTTTTCCTCGGAAGGGTCAATTCACCTCGTGAATCATGACACCGCCCAACGAGTGGGACAACACATAGAGCACCGTTTGGCTACGCTTGTTTACTTATAATTAAATTTTGAAAGAAATAATTTTATTGATCAAAGTTGAAAATAAACGAGTTATTAATTTTGATAGTAATGCAATAATTGTTTATAAAATAAATATTTCTTTTAATTAAACGTAAAAAAATTCGAAATATTCAAATACGTTTGGCAATAAATTTTTTTTTTTAGAAAGTAACTTTTATGTTTTCAAGCGACACCAAACATCAGTATCAATTGGAATATGCACTGTCTCTATCACTGCAGAAATTTCTTGGATCTAAGGCATTGCTTTTTTGCATTGAAAGCCGCAATTCTAATAGTCAAATAATGAGTACGAGCTTTAACTACGTTAATTCGAAGAAAACTACGTTATACTATTAACATATTAATTATTTTGACAAATATTAACATCTCTATATATGTAATAATGTAAGACATAAGTTCCACATGTGTACGGATTTCAGAGGAAGAGTTAAAAGAAGAATTTTGTCTCCTGCGCACATGTTATAGAAATTCTCACATTACGTATTAGAACTAATGTACTTCATCGTTCGCATCATTTTTTAGACTTTATTACGTGATAACACACTGTTAAATAATTTAAAATTTTGAATATTTTCATCAAATTAACGTTTGCCAACACTTGTAATGTCAATAAAAGAATGTACATACGACATTTTCTTCTTGAACGACAAATGACTGGAAATGTTTTCGGTTCTGCTTCAGTCATTAAAGATTTCACATATGGAGAAAACTTCATAAATTATATTTTTATTTAATATGAATTATTTTCTCGATTAAATCAAGATAAAGAAATTTAAATTCAAATTTTATCTATCAATTAATTCAAGCAACCTATTAGTTCACATACCAACCAGCCAAGGCTACTCATGGGGCACGACAAATCAGAATATTTATAGAGATGTAAATAAAGTTTAAGGATGGAAAATTTTAGGGCTGTCCGTGAGTCGGTCCGGTTCGACTCTGAAGAGAACCGAACGGGTTCGGTTCCGTTCCCTAATTAAAATTTTTAATATTTACAGTAACACTACATAAATACAACTAATCACATTTCATTCGTAACTTTTACAAATTAACGTAGCCCAATTCAAAAACATATAAATAACTAGCCGTCCAATATGATTAATTCAATGCATACAAATACCAAAAAGTAGATATTAAT